ATATCTCCACCATTGGAAAATCAGGAAATATCATATAAAATTTAGATTTTTAGCCTGTCTAGAAAAATTCTACAATAAAAAATGTGAAAAATTTGGGGCAGGGCAATGGCTCAATGACACAGCACTTGCCTAACATGCATGAGACCCCTCAGTTCCATCTCCAGCCCTGGGGCTGGGGGAGGAAAAAAAAGAAAATATTTGACCCCAAAAATGTATGTTTTTCACCTTCTGACCAAGAAAAAAGCAAAATATCTGGCAACAGTGGGCATCTACTCCCACGTGGCCATACGCAGCACTGTGTAGGGGCTCCTTCTTCATATCTTACCTGCCTGGCCCTTAATCTGAGTTCATGATCCCACCCCACTGGATAGATCACCTTGCCCTCCATGCTGGAGATTGAACCTGGGGCCTCCTGCATGCCAAGCAAGACTCCACCACTGAGACACACTCCCAGTCCTAAATGGTTCTTAATGTAACAGACCCCTTGCCACAGTAAGGAGTTACTGGAGAAACATTTTATTTTAAATTCCTTTGCTTTCAGAGCTAACTCTCAAAGTATATCCTGAGGATATAGGTGGATATGAACATTACAAATATCACTGAGGACAGAGAAAGAACATCTGAGATGCAGTGTACCCATGTTACCTGCTATTTCTTTAAACCCATAGATTCCCACTTCCTTCCCAGATAGTCTAACTCAGAGCTGACTTAAATGGTGCTTGGGAATCTGCATCTGTAATAAGCACCCCAGTGACTCTTATTATCAGACAAATTTGGGAAACACTGCCATAGATTTAAAAAGCAACACAACCAGAAAGCAAGCTTCTATAATTAGTACTAGAATAATTAGCAGCTGTCTCCTGTTAATATCTGCAGGCAGAATGGAAGGCTCATCTGTCACTTGGAACCCTTTTCTTCCCTTATCCCAATTGCAGTGCAGATGGCGACTTTGCTATTGTCAAGTTCACGAAAGTGCTCCTGGACTACACGGGCCACATCACATGGACACCTCCAGCCATCTTCAAAAGCTACTGTGAGATCATTGTCACTCACTTTCCCTTTGATGAGCAGAACTGCAGCATGAAGCTGGGCACCTGGACCTATGATGGCTCTGTGGTGGCGATCAACCCGGTAGGTAGGGACTCCGTGTGATGATGCTGGTTTCAGGAGAAGTGTGGTTCAGGTCTCTGACTCTGCCCCTAGATAACCACAGGCTCTCAGAACCAGTTAAAACTTGGGAGGCTCTTGTCTGATGGTTCTCAGTTGGTTAGGAAGGTTCTTGATGTGCTGCTTATAAGAACTATCTTGGAACTGAAAGAAACTCCTTATGCCCAGCACAGTCTCAAGAATTTTGATTAAATCTGTCTGGAATGGGGCTAAGTAGCCAATGTTATAAATCTTGAATATGGAGCCCAAATGAAGAATCCCAGTAATCTAAACTCCTTATGTTATGGGAAAGGAGTCCAAGACCCCAAAGTGGAGGTGGCCCCAAGTCCCTCCTGGATATGTGGCCCACAGAACTGGGGATTATTACCTTATCACGGCTGATTACAAAACCCTGCCCTCCCCTACCCCCCAGATAACTTGGCTAGGGTTTCCAAACTTCATCTCATTTTTCAGGAAAGTGACCAGCCAGACCTGAGCAACTTCATGGAGAGTGGGGAATGGGTGATCAAGGAGGCCCGGGGCTGGAAGCACTGGGTATTCTATACCTGCTGCCCCAGCACCCCCTACCTGGACATCACCTACCACTTCGTCATGCAGCGCCTGCCTCTCTACTTCATCGTCAACGTCATCATCCCCTGCCTGCTCTTCTCCTTCTTAACCAGCCTTGTGTTCTACCTGCCTACAGACTCAGGTGGGTGCCGTTGCCATGACTGTTAAAGTGAACTGGTCACCAACATCTATTTGCCCAATACCATCTGTGTGCCCAGAAATTTGCGGGGTAAGGTGTGTGCTCACAGACCTCCTCATGTCACTTCCTCTACAAAGTTGCTTTCCTTCGATGGACTCTTCTGGGCATTGCTCCTTTACTGAGTTTGCCACTAGAATATCACTTTTGCATGTCTGTTTCCAGATGGCAATACCTTTACACATGAGACCGTACTTCCCAAGTGGCAATTCTTTCCCACATATCAGCCTGGACAACTTACTTACCTCCTACTGAGTAATCCCATCTGTGATATAATTTCATCAAACACCAACAATCTACTGAACAGGGGATGGGTACCCATATGTCTGCCAGCAAGTCCCTACTCGTAAACAATTGATGGCAGACAAGCTGGAGGAAAAGATGGTGCAGACGCCCCTCAAACTTATGACAGGTAGCAATTTTATCCAACTGATTTTTTTTTAAACTCACAAAAATTTAAATCTAACTGTTCAGAAAGGGGAAAATATTATTCACTCATTCAATAAAGACTTGTTGAGCAACGCCTACACAGCAGGGACACAGTGGAGAATAAGGCAGGAAGATCCTCCCCCCCCCCCCTGAATGTATGTATGTTCTCATGATGGTACTCATTTTTTTTTTCATACTGGAGATTAAACCCATGGCCTTGCACATGCTAGGAAAGCACTCTACCTTTGAACTACATTTCAGCCGTTTTTGTTTTTGATTTTTAGACAAGATTATGTTAGGTTGCACAGGCTGGCCTTGAATTTGCAATCCTCCTGCCTCAGCCTCCCAGGTAGATGGGATTATGGCATGTACTACTGTGCCCAGTGATTGTACTAGTTTTTAAACAAATGATTGAACCCAGAGGCACTTAACCACTGAGCCACATCCCAAGTGCCACTCCTCATCCCCGCTTTTTATTTTTTTTAGTTATAGTTGGACATAATACCTTTATTTATTGATTGATTGATTGATTGATTTTATGTGGTGCTGAAGATTGAACCCAGGGCCTCGCACATGCTAGGCAAACGCTCTACCACTGAGCCACAACCCAGCCCCTCCCCGCCTCTTTTTTAAAAAATATTTTATTTAAGTCTCAATGAGTTGCTTATGGCCTTGCTAAGTTGCTGAGGCTGGCTTTGAACTCATAATCCTCCTGCCTCAGCCTCTAAGTTGCTAGAAGCTTCCTCTTCTTCTTCTTCTTCTTATTTTTTAAAAATAGTTTTAAAGTAGATGGACACACAGTACTTTTATTTATTTATTTATTTATTTATTTATTTATTTATTTTATGTGGTGCTGAGGATTTAACCCAGTGTTTCACATGTGTGAGACAAGCGTTCTACCACTGAGCTATAACCCCAGCCCCAAATAAAGCTTCTTAAAGTAAATAAAGAAAACACTGTCAGGGAAATATGGAAATAATTAGTGTCTATAAATATTCAATTATTTATGCTTGAAAAGCCTTTAGGACAATGACTATATTATCCTTGGTAAACGTTAGCTATTATTTATTATTAGTCAAGAAATTGTAGCTTGATAAATATATTTACAATTGTGACTTCTTCACTTTCAAAGGCCTTCCTACCTAGCAGGTAGAGTGGACAATCTCATGTTGCCTCCACTTTCACCCAGTGTTTATGGTTGTCCCTTAGTATCTACAGAGGATTGGTTCCAGGACCCCAGGATACAAAAATCTGTGAATGCCCAATTCCTTTATATAAAATGTTGCAGTATTTGCATTTAACTTATGTGGTCCTCCCATATGCTTTACTTTTTAAATAGTTTTTATTGGTGCATATCAATTATACAGATAGTGGGTTTCATTGTGGCATAATCATATGTGCATATAATAAAATTGATCTATTTCATTCCCCGTGCTTCCCCCTGCCCACCTCTCCTCCTTCCCCTGTTCCCTTCTCTCTCCCTTCTGTTTTCATGAGATTCCCCCCCCCATCATCATGCTTTTTTTTTTTCCTTTCTTTTTTCTCTCTAGCCTCCATATGTGAGAGAAAACATACAGTACTTGGAACCTGGTTTGTTTCACTTAACATATTGCTCTCCACTTCCATCCATTTTCCTGCAAATGACATCATTTCATTCTTTGTGGCTGAATAAAACTCCATTGTATATCTATACCACATTTTCTTTATCCACTCATCTCTTGACTGACAGCATAACTTGGCTATTGTGAATTGTGCTGCAAGAAACATGAGTATGTAGGTATCTCTATAGTAGGCTGATATTAATTTCTTTGGTTATATACCAAGAAGAGCTTTAGCTGGCTCATATGGTGGTTCTATTTTTACTTTTTATTTTTGGAAGGACCTCCATATTGATTTCCATAGTGGCTGTCCCAATTTACATCCCCACCAACAATGTGCAAGGGTTTCTTTTTCCCTAAATCCTCACCAGCATTTATTCTTACTTACATCTTTTGATGATTGCTATTCTGACAGGGATGAGACTGAATTTCAGTACAGTTTTGATTTCCATTTATTTCCTTCACAGCTAAAGATGCTGAACATTTTTTCATGTAATTATTGGCTATTTGTATTTCTTCTTTTGAGAAGTGTCTATTCAGTTTATTTGCCCATTTATTGATAGGGTTATTTGGTGGGATTTTTTGTCATCATTATTATTATTATTTTGGTTTTTATTTTGTGTATTAATTCCCTGTCAGAAGAGTAATTGGCAAAGATTTTTCTCCTATTCTGTAAGCTGCCCCTTCACTCTCTTTACTGTTTTCTTTGCTGTGCAGAAGCTTCTAAAATTTGATGTCATCCCATTTGTCAAATCTCGTATTATTTTCTGAGCAATAGGAGTCCTAATCAGGAAGTCATTGCCTGTGCCTCTTATCTGAAGTGTTTTCTTCTAGCAGTTTCAGGTCTTATACTGAAGTCTGATACAGTTTTAATTGATTTTTTTAAAAATTTATAGTTGTTGATGAACCTCTATTAATTAATTTATTTATATGTGGTGCTGAGAATCTAACCTAGTGCCTCACACGTACTAGACAAGTGCTCTACCACTGAGCTACACCAGCCCCAGTTTTAATTGATTTTTGTACAGGGTAAGAGACGGGGATCTAGTTCCAATCTTCTACAGATGGTTATCCAGTTTTCCTAGCAACATTTATTGAAGGTTCTCTTATGTATGCTTTTGGCACCTTTGTCACGTATCACATGGCCATAGCTGGGTTTGTCTCTGTGTTCTCTATTCTCTTCTTTAGGTTTACATGCTTTTTTTTTTTTTTGGCCAGTGCCATGCTTTTTTTGCTACTATGGCTCTGTAGTGTATTTTGAAATCAGATATTGGTCTTTTTGCTCGGGATTGCAGTGGCTATTCATGTGGTTCCGTTTTATGCAGTTTAACACATTCTGCTGCAGAAGGAAAGCCTGCCACCCTGAGTCTGCTTGCCAACCCATAATCCCTCTCAGCTCCCTAGGTTCCACCAAGAAACAAAATCCTGGGGCATGAGATGAAGTAGACATTTACTTCTTGGCACCCTCTCATAGAAAATCTTGCCACTTGTCATCATGGGTACAGTGAAGGTCATGCAGGAAATTATGCAAGAAAAAAAATGTCTCCAATGATGTTTCATGAACATGGGTCACATTCCTTCACCTTTGGATTTCAGTGGTAAATAAGTTTGCAAGGGCTGCCGTGACAGAGTACCACAGATTGGGTGATTCAAACAACAGACATCCATTTCTCACCATTCTGGAAGCTAAAAGTTGAGATCAAGGTGTTAGCAGGATTGTTTCTTCTGAGGCCCCTCACTTGCTCTGCAGGTGACTGCCTTCTCCCATGCCCTCACATGGTCTGTGTCCACATTCTCTCTTGGAAGGACACCAGTCATATTGGATTAGGGACCCCAGATAACTTCATTTAAACTTAATTACCTTTTAAAGGTCTTATCTTTCAAATACAGTCAGATTTTGAGATCCTGAGGTTTAGAATTTCAATATATGGGGAGGGGCCAATTCTGTCCATCATGGTGGATTGTTGGGTTTCTTCTTTTTGTCTTCCCAGGAGAGAAAATGACGCTGAGCATCTCTGTCTTACTGTCCTTGACTGTGTTCCTTCTGGTCATTGTGGAGCTGATCCCTTCCACCTCCAGTGCCGTGCCCTTGATTGGAAAATACATGTTGTTCACCATGGTGTTCGTCATCGCATCCATCATTATCACCGTCATTGTCATCAACACACACCACCGCTCTCCCAGCACCCACGTGATGCCCGAGTGGGTGCGGAAGGTGAGTGCGGGCGGCACATAGGAAGGACACTTCCAGGTCCCCCCTTAGACAAGAGCCAGTGTTGTTCTAGCCAATACTTGCGACATTTAGAAACCTATGTCCTTTCTGGACTTCAGGGGACTTGGGTGAAGAACTTTCCTTGTCTTCTTTCTAGGGACAACTCATGAGAGAGAAAGGAAAAAAAAAATACCAGAATTTATAAAGCACATTCTAAATTCAAGTTTAAAGGATCTCTTTGAATAGAGATGAATAAATCTCCATCTTTTTTATGCTGTGACATTCTTTAAGATTTCCATTTGTGTGTCTTTCAATTTGGGAACAGACTTACTTATTTTTGCTAGTAAAATCATCAGCTGAGAATAGAATGAGATTTAGAGATGGAAGAGGGGTGTTAGGGTTTAGATATGATGTGTCCTCCAAAAGTTTATGTGTTAGACGATGCAAAAATTTTTAGAGGTTAAGTGATTGGGTTATGAGAGCTTTAACCTAACCCGTGGATGAATCCACTCATAGGGATTAAATGCGTAGTAACTATAGGCAGGTCAGGTGTGGCTGGAGGAGGTAGGTCACAGGGGTTGTGCCTTTGGGTTCTGTATTTTGTCCCTGATGAGCAGAGCGCTCTCTCTCTCTCTCTCTCTCTCTCTCTCTCTCTCTCTCTCTCTCTCTCTCTCTCTCTCTCCTTCCATGTCCTGAGCTGCTTTCCTCCCCCTATGATGCTCTGCCTCCCTCTGGGCCCAGAGCAATGAAGTAGGCCATCTGTGGACTGAGGCTTTTGAAACCTGAGTGTCAGATAAACTTTCTCAAATTGTTTCTGTCAGGTTTGTGGTCACAGTGGCAAAAACTGCTGAATAAAACAGAGGGTTTGAGGAAATAACACAAAAGTGAGGAATTTTGTCTCAAATGTTTACATTGCTGAATTTAAAAATGTGCTGACATTTCAAATCCCATCCCCTTTGGTGCTGGGATTAAGCCCAGAGCCTCACACATGCAAGGAAAGCATTCCACTACTGATCTACACCTACAGCCCAAATATGTGCTCTTTTGGATAAAACTTCAGAGACACTAAAGCCTAGAATCTTTATGTCATAAATTGCCAGAGAAACTAATGGTTACCATGTACTCTTTGGAGGCAATTAGCAGTCCTCCTTGACTCCTGGCAATACCCATGTTGCAGTTTCTTTATAAAGAAAGAGAAGAAAACAGTCTACCTACTTTGGAGGACAGAAATTTATACATGAGGCAAAGAGCCCTTTCTTTAACTAAATGATCCTGGAAACACATTGCTAGGACCTTTCTGTTGTCTCCCTGGTGTCTGGTGTCCTAAAAGCTTGCCGGCTGCTCACAGGCTCCCTCTGGTGGCAAACTTTTCATATTACAGAGTCATCGCGACCACTGTAATTTGACACAGTGGTTATGAAGGAGTGGATATGAAGGAGTCTTTGGGAACATCTAGTATGGTTCTTTTTGTTTTAAAGACAAGGAGCCTGTCAAGGTTGAGGCTGAGATACGTTGAATGACTTGCCCAAGATTACGTTGATAATTCAGAGTTTGATGTTTGCCTGTGTTGACAATAATTCTCATGCATGGATTGCTTTTTTATTAGGTTTTTATCGACACTATCCCAAATATTATGTTTTTCTCCACAATGAAAAGACCATCCAGAGATAAACAAGACAAAAAGATTTTTACAGAAGATATTGATATTTCTGACATTTCTGGAAAACCAGGGCCTCCACCCATGGGCTTCCACTCTCCCCTGATCAAACATCCCGAGGTGAAAAGTGCCATTGAGGGCGTCAAGTACATCGCAGAGACCATGAAGTCAGACCAGGAGTCCAATAACGTAAGCTCTGCAGTTTGAAATCTTCCCCTCTGGGTTTAAATGATCAAATACATGACTGCAGACAAATGGGTTTGGTTTGACAGTTAAGCTAGCATTCAAGATGCAGGCACCAACCTAACATGTTCCTTCGGGACCACCTCTAGGTCACCTTAGTAACTCATCACGTTGTGAATTATTATTCAAAAGTTAAAGATCCTGCCAGCCAAGGGATGTGGAGGGCTTTGAGACCTACAAATTAAAGGACCCATCGATAATATGTAGCATGAACTCTGTAAGTCTCTAATAATCACCTTAGTGGAATTCTAACACTCTCCCCTCTCCCAGGCGTCTGAAGAGTGGAAGTATGTTGCAATGGTGATGGACCACATTCTCCTGGGAGTCTTCATGCTTGTCTGTCTCATCGGCACTCTGGCTGTGTTTGCAGGTCGGCTCATTGAATTAAACCAGCAAGGATGAGAAGTTGCATTGAGCCTAGCTCTGCCCCAGGACCCACCAGAGCAGAATAAAACGAGAAAAGGAGGATTTGTATACTTAGACATACTCTCTCTTATCAAACATGAAGTTTTCTGCACTTATGATTAATAGTAACGATGTCCATTTTTATGAGGTCATGGTCTCTGGGTGATTCCCCTTTGCTTCTCCCTGCACTTCTGCCGTGTCTCCCTGGAAAGTGAATCCTTCTCAGTAAATGAAACTGGACCCTTTATAGAAGTGTTCATTTCCAAATGGCATCTGGAAGAGTTTTGCCAGATAGCCAAGATTTTCTGTTGCGTTATTGCTAATTGCTTTCTTTGTTGCTCTTCTTTTTTCCTCCTCCTCTTCTTTTTCTTTTCTTTTTTTGGAATAGAGTCCTTTGCTTAAGAATCAGTTTTATATCTACCAAGAAATCCCCATGTACCCGCCCCCCAAAAGATTAACCATTTGATTTGCAGAGCGGAAACAATAGAAAGAAAATAAAGTAATTTCTAGAATGACCATGGAAATGCAAACAGCCTCAAAAATCTATGTTTTAAAAATAGATTTCTAAGAACTGGGGTGTGGGGGTTTCCTCAGGTGTTTTTTTTTTTCTTTTTTTTTGTGTGGGGGTACTAGGGACTGATCTGAGGCCTTGTGCATGCTATACATACCTTCTACCACTGAGCTACACCTGAGCCCTAGGTGTCCCAATTTAACAGGGAACCTGGTTTTGATTCTCAAGTTTGAAGGTAAACAGGTGGCAACATTATTGAGCATGAGTTGCAGGTACTATGGGAATCATCTCACCTATGTGGTTTTATTTCATCGTAACAATTTTCATACCATCCCTGTAATGGCCTTATTTACAAAGGAGAAAACTGGTTTCAAGAAGGTTAAGTTTGACTGTTAGTAGAATCTGAACTGAGATTTGAACCCAAACCTTGAGATTCCAAAGCAACTCAGCTGGTTCAGGCATCTGCTCGCTTGCTCTCCTGTCACCCTTGCCTTGATCAAGACCATTCTGTGACTCTGTTCAGTGTTCTTGAGCACTTCAGCCTTAGTGTCAACTATCTTTCCACCTTCCCAATTACATTGCCTGCATTTTTTTTTCTCAGTCTTTACATCAATCATTGGGGTTCAATTCCTACAAATGAAACCAGAAATGTGTGCACACATGATCACTATTTCTAAAGTTCTGAAGAAGAGAGGAAATGATTTTTCTTTCTTTTTTTAATATTTATTTTTTAGTTTTGAAGTGGATACAATATCTTTATTTTACATTTATGTGGTGCTGAGGTTCGAACCAAGGGCCTCATGCATGCTAGGCAAGCACTCTACCACCGAGCCACAATCTCAGCCCCAATGATTTTTCTCTCTGAAGTAAACTTCCAGTCTCAATATAGTTTACCCTAGAATGAGAAACCATGTGACTCTGGGCTTAGAAAAGGCCTTCAGAACATCAAACACACCCGACCCATGTCAGCTCCAGGGACAATGTTGGCTGGTACAGACAGAGTGCCTGAGCTCAGGTGGCTTCTGGCCTCCCAACAGACTCCCCATCACATACTTTTAGAAGGGTGGGGTGTCCTCATTGAAGGATAAAACTGTTTCCCTATTTTAAAGGTAAAATAGTTTGGCAGTTCCTCAAAAAGTTACACACAGAGTTACCATATGATCCAGCAATTCCATTCTTAGTATAGACCCAAAGGAATTGAAAGTGGACACTTGAACAGACACCCATAAGCCAATGTTCAAAGACGTAAATAGCTAAAAGAAAGAACAACTCTGTGTCCACTGAGGGTAAATGGCCAACAAAATGTAATGTGTATTGTTAGAGTCTGTGAACAAGTCTGGATGGCGCCTGGCATTTTGCAGAGGGAGTGGTTTGTGAAGTAACACCAGCGAGCCATTAAGTGTGGAGATTCCTTATTGGTTGACTGCTGTATCGAGTTTATGTTAATTAAGATAAGCTGTGTGGAATGTATATATATACCCCTCCTGTCCTACAATAAACTGCTCCCACTCCTGCTGTATCAATCTACACAAGTTGCTCGTCACCCCCCCCCGCCCCCAGCCAGCCGGGCTGCGGCAGTGTATACAATACAGTATTATTAAGCCTTCAAAAGCAATAAAATTCTGATCTATGCTATAATGTGGAGAAACCTCAGAAACATTATAAGTGAAATAAGCCCGAGGAAAAGACAAATATTCTATGATTCCACTTATATGAGGTACCTATAAATTTAAAGAAGCAGAAACAAAATAGAGGTTATCAAAAACTGGGATAGGGGAATTGGGGAGTAGGGGGATACTATTTAATGTAATCAAATTTTTTTGGGGGGGGAAGATAAAAATGTTCTGGAGATGGAGAGTGGTGGTGGCACTAAACTGTGCATATATTTAACACCACTGAGCTACATACTTAAAAATGATTAAAATGATAAATTTTATGTTCTATATATTTTACCACAATTTTTAAGAAAAGAGCAAACTAAAGGCTCGAGTCCCTGATCACCAACTTTAGAGAGAGAAAAGACTAAAAAGAAAAAAAAAATCACCTCATTCCCTACACTCACTTAAGTTAGTCAAGTAAACCAGGACCCAGAGAAGTGGCCTCCCTTGGGTCACAGAGCTGATAGTGACAAACCAGGTCTGTGAACTCCTGCTCTCATCCTGTTCCTGTTACATCAAATAATCCCCCCCCCCACCCTGGTCCTGGGAGCCAGCAGGCTTGGTCCTGAGTCGACAGAGCAATGCCACAGTGTGTCCTGCATCATCGGTCCAGACATCAGTGCCAGCAATCTGCTGCCAAGCCCAAGACTTTAATGCTCCACATCTTGTCCTTTAGGGAAGGCCCAGTTTCCAGAAGGCCACCAATGAAAAGGGGTGGGGGTGCTGGGATTCATCTCCCTAGTGATGATGTAGGACAGAAGATGAGCGACACCTGAGGAATTTTCAGGAAGCAAGTTTATTTAGCTGCAGCAGCCCAGAGTATCTATGGCCTAAAAATCTCTGGACGCTGAGTCTGGAAAGTCTTTATACTCAGTGGGGTGGCTACATGTCAGTGGGGGGTACAAAAGAGTTACTATTTATCCATATTTTTAGGCTCGACAGAGGTTTACAAGTTCTGTTTTGTTTTTTGTTTTTTTTTCTTCTGCAAACCTGGCATTTGCAAAAAGAGGAAGCTATAAACCACAATGCCCTCTGCAGAAGTTTTTGTTGCTATCCTGTGTAAAAATCTTTCTGACCAGAAGAGAAGCTCAATTATGTGGGGAGGTCCCTGGAGAAGCTTGTATGTTACAAATATGGTAGGGGGGTCTCTTTGGTGGGGGCACCTGGTCTGCTTCACTGAGAGGTGTTTGTTGAGGACCAGCCCTGGTTGGCCCTGTGTGGCTCTGCTGGGGAGTTTGTCTGGATGGCAGGATGGCTTCTTAGGAAATAAGGAGCTAGGAGAGGAAGCAGAACAGGAGGCAGGGACATTGTGGTGCACAATGTCCTGTGAATGTGAAGGTGCACAGACTGCAAGTGGATCAGGAAGTTTTCAGAACTCAGATGCCCAGTCTTCTTTTGGACTGCTGGTCTCAGTGAGGATCAGGGTCTTTGGGAGAGTGAGGGAAACTGTAGGAGTCTCCTGGGCTTTGGTAATGCAGGTGCCTTAAAGCAAGAGAAATTTATTCTCTCACATTTCGGTGGCCACTATGGCCTGGACTATGCCCCTCCCCCAATCTCACATTTTGGAGTGTTTGGAGATGAGGCCTTTGGGACATACTGAGCTTTAGACGAGGTCACATGGGTGAGGCCTCATGATGGGATTAGTGCCCTAACAAGGAGAGACACCACAGGGCTTGTACACTCTTTTCTCTGTTTCTCTTTCTCTTATGTGAGGACATAGCAAGAAGGTGGTCATCTTCAAGTCAGGAAGAGAGCCCTCATCAGAAGACAACCATGCTGGCACCTTGCTCTCAGAATCCCAAACTCTAGACTCAAAGAATAAAATTATCTGACTCAGATAAAGCCAGAAGTCTAAAATTGAGGTGTAGACAGGTCTGGAGCCTCAGAGGAAGAATCTGATCTGTGCTTTGCTCCCAGTTTCCAGTGACTACCAGCAACCCTTGGTGATCCTGGGATTGTGGCAGCATACTCCGACCTTGGCCTCCATCTTCATGACCTTTATCCCTATATTTTAAGAAGAAACTTGTCATTGGAATTAGGGTCAACAATAAATCTGGGATGATCTCATCCCAAGATCTTAATATCTGCAAAGAACTCTAGTTCCAAATAATATCATTCACAAGTTCTAGGGCTTAGGATTGGACAGACGTTTTGGAGCCACTATTCAACCCATGACAAGCACTAACCAGGAAGTAGCATGGGACAAAGGCTGAAGGCACAGAAAACCTTTCCAAGAAGCCTCAGAGGGAGACAGGAGTGAAGAGGGCATGTTGGATTGGTCTCCTAACTTCACTGTATCCTCAGTCCAACCTGGAGAACTGAAAAGCAGCCGAGCCAACTCCTGGCTTTCTCCTTACTCTGTAACAGGTTGCCACACTTCAAATGCCCAAGGAGGAGTCTGGGCCTGTAACCTCTAGATCCACCCCAAGCTTCATCCCTGGGCTTTTCAACTGCACAAGAAGTGCAGAGTGGAGCCCCATACAGACAAGTACACCCCACACCCCTAGTCAGAGCAATGATGGACCCTGATCATCAGCCTGTAGAGTTGGGAAGGGAGGGAGTAAAAAGAAAGAACTAGAAATGGTACTTGACTTCTTTCAACTCAAAAGTTCAGGATCCTTCCACACTCTTCTGCTCTTGCTGGTGAGATGTGGAGAGGTTGGAACCCCTGGGTATTGCTGGTGGGAATGTACAATGGTCCAGCTGCTATGCAAAACACTTTGGCAGTTTCCCAAGAAGTTACAAACAGCGATGAGCATGTGATCCAGCAATTCCACTTCTAGGCATATATATACCCAGAGGATTTGAAAGCAGGGGCTTGGACAGATATTTGTATGACAATGTTCACAGCAGCATTATTAATAACCAAGAGAAGGAAACAACCCAAGTGTCCATTAGCACATAGGTGGATGAAGGAAATATATATATATATATATATATACACACACACACACACACACAATGGGATATTAATCAGTCTTAAAAAGGAATGAAATTTTGACACGTGCTCCAACATAGATAAGCCTTAAAAACATTATGCTAAGGGAAATATGCCAGATGTGAAGGGACAAATATGGCACGATTCCACTGACATGAGTCAAATTCAGGAAAACAGCAAGGAGATTAGAGGTTACCAGGGGCAGGGGGGAGGCAGGTATTGGTAATAGGTACAGAGTTTCAGTTTCAGATAATGAAAAAATTCTGGAGATGGATAGTGGTAATGATTGCTTGATGCTGTGGATGTATGTACTGCACCTGAACTTCAGTGTAATAGTTTTTCAGCCTGTTTCTTTTTTCTCCTCCTGTAGCCCTTCCCTATATGCCACTTATCAGTTTGCAGTATTTTC